GAAGCAACAAAGCCCACAGAAAAGAAGCACACCAGCCTGTGTGATCATGAAGTGTTGAAGGGATCAGATAGCAGACACCAAAGAACAAAAACCATCATTGTGTGATCACCTTCCCCACAGAAACGCTGAAGACGAATGTATGCATAAGTAAGTGTGGTGAAGAAGGCTGATGGTGCCCAGCTATTGAGAGATATAGCATCTGGGGTCTTAAAGGCTTGAAAGTAAACAAGTCCATTTTTATTAGCTTTCATACAGAGCAAACCCCAGTCCCTCATTGTTTTGCTGGTGAATTCTTTAAAAACACTCCTTTAAAATTTCTTTAAACAAGCGTTTACACAAATTCTTCCAGGGGGTGGAAACAAGAAAAATTCTCAAACTTTTATGAGGCTAGCATAATCTTCAAACTAAATCTGCCAAGGTAAGTACAAGTGAGAACAATTATAGACATTAGTGTTATATTCAGGAATGCAAGGTAATTAACAGAAGATTAGCAATCAAATCCAACAATAGGTAAAAAGACCAAGTGAATATTTATTATAGCCATTGTTTGAGATCCACAAACATTCGCAGACAAATTGGTGTACTTCTTCACCTTGATAGAAAATAGGGCAACAATCCTGTGGTTAGTTTAATTATACCAAGGGGCTTCAAAAAGTTTGTGGAAAAATGTCATTGGAATATAATGGAATTTTCCCCCAAACCTTTTTGAAGGCCCCATTCCCTCAGGTCCAGAAAGGAATTTGTTAAAATGAATAGCATGTATTAGCAACCTAAGAATGTAAGGGGATTATCTTAATGTGATAAATAGTAGCTATAAAAATCCTGCAGCAGAAATTATAATAGTAAAGTTTTCACCATTTTTCTTTGAGGGGTGAGAGGCAGTATGTAAGGATACCTATACATAGTGGCAAGAGATGAAAGGAAGAAATAAACCCGCCACTATTTATGGACAACATGATTTGTATGAAAGGAACATGCAATGGAATCTATTGGCAACTTAAACAGAATGACCAAGATTTACCAAGTTCTCTGGAAAATTAATGAAAAGACACTCAGACATGGAAG